CCCGGAGGGCTCGGAAACGCGGCCCCTCGCCGCTCAGATGTGCCTTTCTGAAGGTGAGGGTGGTTCCGAGGCCACCTCGACGGCTCCCAGCAGCGTGTCGGCTCTCCCCTCTCATCCCACCTGCCTTCTCTTTCAGCTTCGGCTCTGCCGCCGGCCGAGATGCTTTGCAAAGCTCTCGGAGCGAGCCGGGCGCTGCCATCCGTGTGAACACCGCCAGGGTAATTTCCAGGGAATTAGGAAGTTGGTAGAGATAACTGGCACGTGGCTGCGTTTTTCCATCTGTGACTCAGTCACCTGTATGGTCACTTCTTTTCTACTTTCCAAGGGCGGTAACTCACCCTATATTTCTTTTTTTCCACTCTCTCAGCGCTCAAACAGCAGCTCCCGTTTTAGCAGCAGCGTGACGCACGGTGTTTTAAATTCAATTTAGAATACAAACTATTTATACCAGCCAGAAAAAGGCAGTGAAGCAGCTCTTTCTGTCATGAGTGGATTTGTAATTTCAGAGCAATCATTGCATAACTAATTGAATCAGCTCTCAGCATGTGAAATCAGTGCCCTGCTTATCGGAGGTTTTCATCGTCGCCGTCCCCCCCCCCGAAGCCAGCAGCCCCCCTCCACCAGCAGCACTTTGTGCTTCTGCATCAGCCTGGGAAGAAAGCAGGACCTGCAAAGTTGCTTTTCTCTGCTCAAATCGAGCCAATAAATGACCAAATTCGTTCAGAGTAAATGAATAGCTGGGCTGCGGATGCCTCCCAAAAGCTGCCCAGCCTCCACGCGACGGAGCGAAGTGCGTTTGAAGCTAATGAAGTGCCAGCCGTGTCTCAGAAGCAAATTGGTGCCGAGATGTTCTGCTGACTCCCACCTCCCACTCCGTGGCCCAGGTGTGCTCTGCTTGGCTTGAATTTAGGGGCTGATCCAGACCCCAGCTTTGGTGCCTGAAAATGGAGCCTAAAAGAGGCGATAAATACAGCGGCAGCTTTCTGGGGGGTACAGGAAAGGTGGAAAATGGAGTAGCTGTACGGATTTTCATCAGCTTGGGAGTGAGAGTCCTGGGTTTAGGATTCGGCCCTGCGGATTTTGGGACCTGCCTGCAGCAGCTGCCCAGGGTGAGTGGGCACCTCCTCAGCTGCAAGGGGCCTATCGGCTTCTGCAGAACACGGAGCTGAAAATTGCAGCCAGAGAAAAGCGTGCGGTAAAGGATGCTCAGTGCCTCCCCGGAGATGGTGCCTGGCTACGTGTGAGTCCTGGGCTGTGACGGACGTGCTGGATGAGTTGCATCGAGCCAGCGGTGTGGGCATGGGTGAGGGGTGCAGATGAGCCCTTAACAGCTACAATTGCTGAGCGCTAATGAAGCCCCTCTGGTTCAGCCTGTGCAAGTGGAAGCAGTTCTCTGGGCAAAGCTGGCAGATCTTGGTGGGGAAGCACTTGCAAACTTTTCTGGATGCGTGCAGGGAGGGGTTGTTCCTGGCAGGTATGGTCCCCAAGGCTGGATGTAGGAGGTGATAGAGCCCAGAAAATGAGAGCTGGGTATCCCTGTGGTACTTCCCCTACTTAGGGATCTGTTTTCCTTCCAGGAGAGCAATACTAGGCTCCATGGCAGGGGGCCTGTTGGCTTTGGTGGCCTGGGGACAGCCTTAGCAATGCTCTCAGCCTGTTGAACACGTGTTGTCCATCCAAGCCACATATTCCCCAAAACTGATAGATAGAGTGGTTTTGTTTTTTTTTTTAGTATGAGCTTGTGCCTCGCTGCTGCTGACTGACCTTGTATGCAAGAGCATATGCAATGCAAGCACTGGCAATGCAAGGGCAATGCCAGCTCTAGCAGGGGCTGGCATGGGCAGGAGAAGCAGCCTTCATCCCCAGGCTTGGTTTAAGCCATGTCCCACCAGTGGCCTCCGCTTGCTTCTTGCGCAAATCCACACAGACGGTGCATCCCCCCACGTGGGACCGGGGTGGTGGGATTCACACTCCTGGGGCAGCACGTGCCTGGGCACCTCCAACCACCCACTTTGTTTTCTGTTGTCTCTTCAGGTAGCCAGATGGGAGCATAAAACGCGAGCGCTCAGCCGAGTCTTCGGCTCTCCACGTGCTGCCTGCTACTGCCTGGGTGCTGTTATCCTGATGCTGAACTGCGTGCGGAGCCATTGGTAAGGAGCTAACCCAACTGCTACGTATCAATGCAAGGAAGTGGGGGGGTGAGGGATATTTGCTCTGCAGTGCTGGATCCAGCCCCAGCGTATCGCTTTTACGTGGCTGGATACCTTCAGCCAGCAGCAGATTTATTCCAGGATTTGTAATAACGACGAGGGATGCAACGCCGTGGACAAAACCATCAGTGTCGACAGCCGTTGCGTGGCGCAGGGTTCCTCGCTCTGCTCTCTGGGGGTGGTTTCCCTGCCCTGGGAGCAGCCCGGGTGACAGGAGGGCTGTTTGCACAGGATGGATCATATGTAACAGCAGATTTTTTTTTAATTTTCTCATCAAAATCATAAACAGAATTAAACCTGTTTTGAAGAAGCCGCAGTTTCCCGTGTAGAAGAGCAGGATTATCTGTGCACTTAGCAAGCAGTCTCTTTAAACTCTTATCTGCCATCTCTTTAAATACCACCTGTACTAGCTAATAGTATTGTGTGACTGATGCACCCTACACCATGGGAATACGTCTTTTGACGTTCTGAGTGCAGCAGAGAGGTTTACTGCAGAAGATTTCCTCAATGCCAGCAATTTATCTGCGATCTGCTAGGCTTTATCTTCAACGCTGTTAGGAGAGACAGACTCTCTTACTAAATTCCCAGATTCAATTATGGCAGGGTCAGAGCTAATGGGTTGTTTAGTACTTTGGGTAATTTCCCAGGCGCAGAGATCTCAGGTTGGTATTTGCACATGTATTTAAGAGCTTTGCCTTCATGGAAGTGACACCAAGACCTGCCCTTGCCCTTCTGCGTTTGTCCCAGCTACTGCTTATTGCAGAAACCATAAGAAAGCTTGCAATGAACGGGGCTGTAATTGAATGCAGGCGATGCAGAGGGCATGTGTGTGTTCCGCTGATGTCTTAGCGACGCAGCAGGCTTGGATTTCACTGGGGAATGTCTTGGCAGTCTCTTGCACAGATGACATAGTCACTTGTTGTCTGGGAAGCAATGCAAAGCCTTGTGCGTGCCTTTAATTAAACCACAGCTAATGAAGGGACAGTCTCCGTTCCCAGTGGTCCTTCTGGCTCCTGGGTCAGCGAGGCTTGCTGGGTCACAGTGAGGCATGGACAGGGAACTTCTGGGAGAGCCAAAGAGGTCTTATCTGTCCCAGCACTACATCACACTTTCCCCCTGCAGAGCCCTCAGTGCCCTACCAGGACTGGCACGGCTGGCTCTGCTCTATGTCATGAGTTTGTGAGTGCTGTGGGGCTTGTTGGGGGCAGCTCTGCCTGCGCAGCCCGTGAGTCGGATCCTGAAGGAGACAACGAGGTCAACCCAGGGGACTGGAAAAGCCCCATTTGGACCCTGGTTTTGGAGGAAGGTCCCTAGAAGATGGGGCAGCTCACCTCCAGCAGAACATGGATGTGACACCAGCCAGCTGCGCTTGCCAGCCCACCCAGTGGGCTGAGGCCGTTTCAGATGGTTGCAATATGAAATTTATTCTGCCCAGGTGTTTCAACACAGCTGGATTATTCCCTCGCCTTTCCTTGGCACTGAATTTGGCCGGAGTGACGGCTAGCAGGCTTTGGAGGCTGTTCAAGGAAGGCAAGCCCTTAGCTGTGGGAGTGATGGGATGGTTTCGGGGTGGTCATCAGAGCTGGAATTGCACCTGGAAGACTCGCTGCCTCCATTCCCAGCTCAAGGCTTATTGCGCAAGCCTGGAGAGGTTGTGCCAGTTGGGAAGGATTCATCCTGCCCCTTAACCTTGCATGAAGATATCAGCGAGATCCCAACTGGGGTTCAGCTGGCCACGGGTCTTACGACACAGGCCCTGTCATCTCAGAGGCCAGTGATGCCGGGAGGGACGCGTCTCACTCGCTGTTTCGCTTTTCCCTTTATTTTATTTTCTGAGTCACTTGTACTTGAGCTCACTGATGAAGCAGGTTTTCCGCTCCTCAGTCTCACTCTTCGGCTGCGCGCAGCGGTCGGGGCTGCTCACGCAGAGCACGCTGGCTGCTGATAGCGAGCAAAAAAGCAGCCTCAAGGGGGTGGTCCCTACACCCCCAGTACTGTAATCCAGCCTTTAAAACTCCTCTCTGCGTGCTCTGAGGACTTTTAATGTAGGTGGGGGCTGCCAGGGAGCGATTGAGGAGCCCACGGGATGTCTCTTTTGTTTTGAAAAACCTGCTTCCTTTTTGCAGCTGGATTTTGGAAAAGCTCCAAGCTGGAGCGGCGGAGGGGAGGGCAGAGCAGACAGAAACTTTGCGAGTGGGTTGGCATCATGGCTGAAAGCACCCGGGAGCTGCTTCGCCACCTGCCCTGCATACAGGTCTGTGCCATGGTCCTGTCCCCAGTTCAGCGCCGTGGTGCTCTGATGCACACTCTGCTCCAAAGGGATTCCTTGGGTGTAAGAAGAGGAATGTCTTGTGCTCAATTAAGCAATTAGGTGCTTCCCAGCTCTGAACTTCATTATCAGCCTTGGCTCGCTTCTGAGAAGCAATCCAGAATGGCCTGTGACCAGGGGGGACCTGCTTAGTCAACTGCACAAGACAAGCATCCTTAATTGCTTTGGTGCAATGATTATTTTCATTACAGCCACGTTCTTTCTGCGAGAAGCAGGGAACTTCCATCACCAATGCTCTTATCTGCGAAAACAATTCCTGAACTTTTGAACTATCTGCGCTACGTGCGCTGCCCCAGTGGTTTATGACTGCTGTCTGTGCGACATGGGACGTGACAACCTTCGCTGTCCTCCAGACTTACAGCCAGTGTCTCTCTCTCTCTCTTGCCTTGCCACGTTGTTGATATCTTTCCCTGCATCGGCCCTATAATGAGCTGCTGGTGCTGCCTCCGAGCCCTCCTCAGCTGCCTTTTGTGCACCCTGGCAAACTCCCCATCTCGGGGCAAGCACATGCAGGTGGTTTTGTATGCCAAGAGCGTAGGAATTTCCCACCTTAAGGGTCTCAGGGTGTTTGCCTGAGCTGTAAAGACCATGCAAGGGTCTCGGGGTGCCTGGGCCTATGACGTCTCCGGTTGGAGCAAGCCCCATGGATGAAGGGCAGCGCGCCTTTGACAATGTGCTCAGTGGGTGCCACACCGCCAGCTGACCTGAAGTCCTCCGTTGATCATATAATTCCAGAGTCATTAAGATTGGAGAGGACCTCTAAGATCATCAAGTCCAGCCATCAACCCAATACCACCATGCCCACTAAACCACGTCCTGAAGTGCCACATCTACAATATCCTCTGGGCATTGCCTCCTGCATGGATGGGCTTCTCGCTTGGAGCTGACGCTTCCAAGAAAACAAATCCACCCCGAGACGGGATTTTGCAAGGAAAGGGGTTGTTTGTCATTGCCGGGTAGTGCCTCTCACCTCTACACTCAGTGCTGTTTGATTTTGTGAGCTAGTACCATCAACGAGCAGGGTGTAAACAGTATCGATCTGAGAACCGTGTGGTCTTTTGTGCAGAAGTGACCAAGTTTGATGCTGGGAATCGAGCATGGCCTGAAGGAACCGATGTCCACTCCAAGCCACGCTGCCAGCAATCTCTGGTGGCTCTCCAGGAAAAGCCCCAGGCAGCCAACAGCACCTCTGGTCTCCGTCAGCGTGGCTGCCGGGCATCCAGATGAGGAAACCAGGCAGCTGAGATGCAAGCTGATGGGGGGAAAAGCTGCTACAGCCCCCAACTGACCTAAATAACAGACACACTGGTGCTAGCAGAAAAGCAAAGTCATTATTGGCAAAAGAAGCTGTGAAGATGATGACCGGGCTGACAATTGCCAGTGGTATCGGCAGGACGATTTTAGTGCTGTTGGGCTTGTTGTTGTTTGGGTTTTTTTTTTCGAATGAACAAGATCTTTTGTCACGCTGCGCTGGCGGCAGCGTGTGTTGCTGGGCACCACCTGATGGTTTTACCCCCGTCGCCTCCTTTTGCCGAGAGGAAC